AACTACGTCCATGTGCTTGCATATACTTCAAATAAACTAATTTCTGCGTCGTGTAACACTGGATAAAGTAGAAAGCAGGAAAATTCTTTAAACTTTTGTATTGAAATGAAGAAGCAAGTGTGAGCCCGAAGAGGCTATAGTTCGTCTTGACTTCATACCATTCTTCCTTTGTATTCGTCCGATGCCTCACGTATAGCTCTGTCATACATCTCAGCTCCTCCATCAACGGACGCTGGCGACAATTTCCAGTACATTGTTGGCCAATCAAAACCCATATCATCCTCCTAAAAATTTGAAAAGAACAGTACCAGCGCTAATAAAAGTGAACTCTTCCTTATCTTGAACGCAGAACAAAACTCACAGAAACACAGTAGCTCCCAGAAAAATCACGAATAATTCCCTTGCTTGTAGCAATACCCATATGTCCAATTAAAGGGAAAATCCAACTAAACCATCTTCGTTAGGAAAAACTTTACGTTTTTAAAACAGGTACATACGTTATCAGTGGCAGTGGTGTCCACACAATGCAAAAAGGAAATCTGTGACGTTGCACGTCAATTTCCTCTGCGCCCATATTCGGAAATCCATCAATAGCAACGACACTATCTGGGTAAATCTGACGGGAGTCCACCGTGCTGAAGTTTACAAAAATAAGTTTTTAAATCAATTTCCGAGAAGCTTTAAAGTACATGAGGACCACTCAGTACATACTGCCTAAACACTCCTCATTGGAACCACCCTTAAAATGTGGTATTTTCCTTACAACTTAGGGAATGAAGTCACAGTTTTTTGAGAAGTAACATTCAAAACTCTTTAACTAATTAGCTAACGGAGCAATGCTTTACTTATCTAATTGCTATGAGCATACGACAAACTCGCAAGCAAATACCTCATTTATCCGGTCTACAGCAGTTGTAGTGGAATTATGTTACAAATGAATAATTTCTAAGTGAAAAACAGACCGTATGCGTAGAAATTGTAACTATTGAGAAGAAAACTCAAATATTTAAACCCATTCCTTATATTAAAACTGATGATAAAAAATTGGGGAATTTCTTATACCACCTCTCTCAGAATCGTGTATGCTGTATATACTACATTTCTTTTTATATTCATCGAAGTCTCACGCTTAATCGGTGTTTAATTAGCTACTGGAGAAAATATCAAACTCCAACTTTTGATACCTTACCAAACTTTATCTAACTTGTTTTGCATGAACGAGAACAGATAGAAAACGACAAATATATGGAAGAACAACAAAAAGATGGAAGAAATGTGCCACCAGAAGATAAAATAAAAATTATAAAGTTCTAGAAATTCTGGGCACTCCTACGACTGCAAGTACTATCTAGCCTATCAAATTGGCGGGAGCCTTCCTCCGTGCAAGCGGGCAAGAGGAACTTTTCTGCAATGACGCGTAGAAAGCTTACCCCACGAAAAAATACACTCCGGCGCCGACCGCGTAGCGATGGGCATGATAGAGGCCCGGTAAATGGCAGCCCAGCCAACGGCCGAATCGCGCCAGCCTCGTCCGTTGCGGTCTTCCGCTGCATAGCACGTCTTACTGTATCTCAATACTTCACAAGGATCGGCCGATTC